GCGTCTCATCTATCCCTGAATTACTCATCTTGGCTACAGTCTAGGACAAAGGGCCCCTCTGAGAGGAGATTAGACATGGATATTAACAAGAGAAAAAGTGTCCACTGTCTCACCTTGCTGGGGACGCAGCTTCCAACGAGACAGGAAAAGGAAACCCCTCCTGACTGACAGCCGGAGGGAGGGCTCCCATCCCACAGCAAATCCCTCGTTTCACGCGGAAGAATAGTCACGACAAACTCTGTATTCAAATAATATTCATGCATGGCAGATAACACGGCTGGCAGAGCTGCAACATGAATACAAATAACCTTCGCTCCCTTGGTTGCTACCGCACATGCACCGCCACCGTGCCGGAGCATGGGTGAAGGGGCTGTCAGTGTGGTGCATGGGGTGGGGAGGGCTCTGGGTGCTCCAACGGGTGCAACTGCCTCGTCTGAGCTCCATGTGCCATCCCTCTAATGAAGATCCTTTCCCTTGAGCCCTCCACCAGACTGGAATGTCCTCTCACAGACTCCCAGCAAAGAGGTCCTCTCCAGCCACCTCCTCCCACCCAAGCTGCCAGGCACGTTTGCTGCTCTCACAGGGCACAACATCCTCCGAGTTCTTGCTTTGGACCAAACCTAGTTCCCCAGGCCCCAAGGCCCTCCATATCAGTGCTCCATCCTTCCCTCCCCAACTCCGCACGCTGGCCTCAGGCATCACCCTTCATCCCAACAGCCAAGGACCGGGGTGTCACCTTCCATGCTGAGACGCAGCCTTGAGGATGCTTTTGACTGTTCTGTCTCCTGAGCAGCTTAGGTATCAACTCATCCAGCTGGGAACGGGAGGTGAACCTTCAGAAGCAGCACCCAAAGCGCTCACAGGCAAGAGGCACTGTGCATTTACAGTGCCAACCACGACAAGCCCTGGCCTCCCCACTGGCAGTAGGGACAAAAATCTGGAGGCAGCACTGGCCTCTCAGTCAGCTGGATAAACTGGATGGGTCGCTGCTCCATCTCAAGTTTACTCGAAGCATCCGAGGGCAGCCACGATGCTCCCTTCCTCCCTGTGCCTACTGCAGATCAGCTTCTTCCTTCGATGAAGAGGAGACGATGAAAGCCAATTTCCCTTTGTGCTCATGGCGAATAATTTGGAGAATTCCCCTTGTTTACTCAGAACTGTTAATGACGCGTCAGAAATTACCTCCGAGATTGTAATTAAAGAAAACGGCAGAAGAGAGGGAGGCATCCACACACACACACACACACACTCACACACAGCCTAAGCACAGCTTCATCTGCAAGTCTTGAAGTGCTGGAGCAGACAGTAGCCTCCTCATCGCCCCAAGCCTGCAAAAGGACCCCCAAGAACCTCCTAAGCAAAAAGAAAGCAGTGGTGGCACTTGGAGTATCCAGGAGCTAGCGAGGCCACGAACCCAACCAGAGACCCACAGGAAATGAGCGGGAAGCTCAGCCCCCTTAAAAACATTTTGGAAGCGGAGCAGCTGACCTGGAAGAGTAGCTGAGCTCTCAGTCATCGCCAAGTTGCAGACACCCACATGCATTCAGCGACATATTTGTCAAACCCCTGCTAGCCTGACCTCGGGCCTCAGCGTCTGATGGGGCTGGAGCAGAGCACAAACAGTCCTTTCCCATGGAGAACAGAGAGGAATTTGATTCCTGTTTGGTTACAGGAGGGTGCCTGGATTGCCTAATTACTCAGGGGTGACCACTGTGGAGAGGCAGCCGAGAGCTGGTTTCCCAACATCTCCCTCCGCGCTCAGTCTCAAGGCCAAATCCTCCTGCTTTGCCTCCTGGAGCACTTCCACGGGACGAGCAAAGCTGCTTGTGCTGGGAGAGTAAACGAGGGTCAGGCCGGGGAATCGGCTCAGCCGAAAGCAGCCAGCTGGAAAAAAGCCGTTCCCTTTCTCCACCTTAGCCAACAGCTTAGTTTGTCTGAGGCTCGTTTCAAGCCTTGGATTAGGAAAGCAGAGGAAATGCAAATCCTTTGAGTCCCAAATTCAAGGTAGAGGAAGGAGGAACAAGCTAGGTTGTCCTCGTGTTCACCACCAGCAGCTGCCTGGGTGTGCAGGAGCTGTGGGGCTGGGCAGGCTGTATGGGGCTTGGTACAAGTAGACTCTGGCCATGGCCATACAGTGCTCCATCAGTACAGACGAGAGCTTGGGTCTCTGGGCAGGATCTGTTTGGATCACTACTCCACTATTTATCCACTCATCATTGCTGTAGAGAGAATTGAGGTCAGTCTTGAAGTCAGCCTCACACCAGCCCATAACCTCCCATTCCTGGTGGTGCAGTAAGGCAGACTGGGGGCCCTGTCTCCACTCCCATTCCCAATATTTTTCTAACTAGAGACCACTTAAACCTTTTAAACTCCCATAGCATTTCCAGGTGAGCCTCATATCCCCTAGACCACGGTTGCCATCTCCGACAGACTCCAGACGGGAGAAGTGGCAGTTTTCCCTTGAAAACCTCTTCTTGGAGGCAGGTAAGCACATAGCTATGGGCGCAACGAGTGCCTGCTTTCTGGCAGCAGTTGGCCTTCTCAAGAAAGCAAACCCACTGCTAATGCAGGGCCCCAGGGGTTGTAGTTTAAGCACCTTGTGATCATGTTCCCGCATGGACCCATCTCCTGCCTCCCTTCAAGTTGGGTGAAGGTTCAACTGTTCCGCGTCTCCTGGAGAGGGAAGGATTGGATGAGTTTGGACAACACCGCCACCACTGAATCCATACAGACTAAACTTCTCAAGGTTGAGAATCTGAGCCTGAAAAGATGAAAGCCCAGCAATAACGACAGCTTGGGATAGCTGCAGGAGGGGGATCCACCCATTAGGAAGGGTATTTCTCTCCTTCAGCAGAGGTGGCTTCAGCTCCCTCCCTCTCAGCTGGCAGCCCATGCAGGCAGGTTTAATTCTGGGGATTTGCTGCTAATGCTCAGGTCCGGGAGAGGGATCCTCCTCTCTCCCCTTGTCTTAACACACAGCCCCAGGAAAGAAAAAAACTTCCCAACAAGCAGACCGGGATGGCGAGGCACTGCTCGCCAGCCCCTGTGGTCAACATGTCCCCCAAAACCAGCTCACCTTCCCCTCTGGGCGAGCACGGAGCAAAGAGTGTGGGGACAGTGCTCCCATCAGCGTTTCACCTGAGGAAACTCATTGGGGTCACCAGTGCCACGGTACGACTCCGGCAGAACAAGCTCTGCCTCTGTCTTCTCTGCCACACGGCTTGGCGACGTGTGTGATGCCAAAGCAGCAAGGGGGAAAATGCACTTATCCGAGAGCTGGGAGGGGTCTGACACGTAAAGGAAACCACTGAGAAACCCCTTGGTGCTGCTGCCCTCCCAGGACCTGCAGTTGGTCTGCAAGCTCTGGGCAGGGCAGCCTCTCCATCACAGGTACGCCAAGCTCCTGCCACCATTCACAGCTCCGGAGAGGGATTGTCAGTGCTCACAGCGACCAGGGCAGTCTGCATCCAGTAACCCACATCCACAATCGTGCTGGGACTCTGAGATTTGCTCCAGCAGCTCTTTATTGGACAGAAGCATATGCAGGTACAGGGTAACCCACCACGTGTACACACATGGCACACACTGTGGGCACCAGGAACCTCCTCGGGCACTTGGTACCTCCCCGAGCACACCCCTGCGGTGCCCCGGACGGGCTGCCTGGGACGGAGAGTCCCACTGCCACCTCGTGGGTAAGGGACGCATCACCTCTGCTTTGCCACCGGGCACAGCGGGCAGCAAACCTCCTCCCTGCAAAATCCCAGGCTCTGCTGGAGAACAGGACCCGGAGAAACCTCAAAGTACTTGGCTTGGAGGGTGGAGGGAAGTCCACACATACCAGAGCTAGAGGCATTATGAATTAACCTGATCTTTCCCTGCCTGTCTCCGTCCCTTCTCTCCAGGCATACTGGGAAGAGAGGATGCTGCCACACAGGGCAGGTGTTTGGCTGCAGTCACTGGAATGAGAGAAGAGTAGAAAGACTCACTGCCAACCGCCCAGGACCTGCTCATATTCTCCTGGTCTCACCAACGTTAACTGCAGCATCTCTTGAGGGCGCTGGCTGCCCAGGAACAGAGCCTCAGGAATTGAAATGCTGGTAAAATGCAGAAGACTCATGGGTGAGGCAAATCCATTAATTCCCTTCTGCTCCCAGTTAGCACCAGGCTGTTAAAAGGGGACTTCT